TCAGAATCTGGGAACAACCAGGAATGAACCTCCGGTAGTAATTAATTAGGCCTAAGAATCGGCGTAACTGCCGGAGTGAAGTTGGTTGTGAGAAATTTGAAATAGATTCTATTTTCTCAGGTAAGGGCGTTATTCCCTTTTCATCAATGACGTGTCCCAAAACTTTAAGTGAGGGCACAGCAAAAATACATTTCTCTGCGTTAATCTTAAGGCCAAAATGCTGTAGACGCTGGAAAACTTGTTCAACGTCATGACGATGTTCAGTCTTGTTTCTACTGGCGATCAGGACGTCATCAATATAGGCAAACGTGAGAGGTAAACCTCTCAGCACTTCGTCTATAAGCCGTTGGAAAGATTGTGCGGCGTCCCTTAAACCAAATAGCATTCTCACAAATTCGTATAAGCCAAAAGGAGTAGTTATTGCTGTTTTATGGATGTCTTCCTTGGCCACTAGTATTTGGTGGAATGCTTTCACCAGATCAAGTTTGGTGAAGATTGTGGCGCCCTGCAAACCCACTGCGAAATCGTGCAAGTGCGGGATGGGGTATTTATCCGGAATTGTAGTAGCATTCAGCTTCCGGAAGTCGCCACAAGGTCTCCAAGCTCCTGGGTCCGGTTTTGGAACCATATGAAGAGGAGATGAGTAAGGACTCGAAGAAGGCCTAATTATACCGAGGTCCAGCATGTGCTGAAACTCGTCTTTCGCCAGTTTATATTTATCAGGCCTCAATCGCCGTGGAGATGAATGCGTGGGTGGGCCCGTAGTATCAATGTGGTGCTCAGCATTGTGACGAACGGTTTCTGTATACCGGAATGGTGTTGTAATTTGAGAATATTTTTGTAACAGATCCTGCATTCCGTTGGCTTCAGGTAGAGTTGCGCTGATACATGTGCTCGTATAAATAGATGTAATTCCTTTCCTTGTAATGTTGGTCGTTTTATCCTCCAAAGAAAGGGAGGACATATTAACGGACAAGTTAAAGTGGGCGAAGAAATCCGCTCCTAGGATTGGGGTTCGAACTTGGGCTATCGTGAATATCCACGGAAAAGATCGCCTAAATCCCAGATTTAGGGTTAACGAGGTTTCACCATATGTCTGGATTGAAGATCCATTCCCCGCTTGTAACGTATAATCTGTCTTTCTAGTCAACATATTAGGCTTGGCTGGTATTACACTAATTTGTGACCCAGTGTCCACTAAAAACAAGTAGCCGGAGTTCTCATCTCGGATGTAAAAGAGACGACTTTTTGGCATCCCTCCGGCAGCAAACGTCTCTACTTGTTGCCGGGATAGTCGTTTCCCGACTGCTGTGTGTTGTTATCCTTAGCTGCGTTTATGTCGAAGTTACACGGTTTCGTACAATGCCGCGCTTGTTGTCCATATTTAAAATGATACCAACAGGTATTAAGTATAGGCCTGCTTCTGGATGTGGAACGTGATATTCGCCTAGTATGATGTGATGGACGTGGTCGTCTAGTGAAATTGTTGGTTGTGCGATTTTGCTGATGCATAGCGGTTTATAGAGCTTGTAACTGTGAGGTAAGCTCTGCTATACAATCTTTAATTTTCGATAACTCTTGTGAGTCACGGACTGAAGAGACAATAGGTTGTAACGGTGTCGCAGAAGCAGTTCCCGGAGGTTTATTCTCATATATTTTGTCCGCGATTTCTGCCAATCGCTGTAGGTCCAAATCGTCCGGGAGTGACACTAATATTTGTGATGTTTGTGGGCTCAGTTTATCCATCGATAGTTTACGGAGGACTGTGTCAGACATGGTATTGTCACCTAGTAAAGCTTTCATCTTTCTAAGCAATTGGGAAGGTTTATAGTGTCCCAAATGAAGGTTATTAAACAAATCGTGCAACTGACGTTCCTCTGATTCGCCCGTGCGGTATAGTATAGCATCTTTCAAAGTATCATACGGTTTCACCGCCGGCACTTCACTGAGGAGGTCTGCTACTTCTAATGCTACACCCGAGGGAAGTTTCTCAACTACAAAAACGTAACGGGCATGTTGGGACGTGACCTTTCTTGCATTAAAAATTTCGTTTAACTGCACAAACCACACTTGAACGTTGGTGTGGTTGTACGTCGGAAGACTGATGGAAATTGCCCCTTCAATATGTTCGCTGGTAGAATTTTCCATTGTTTTACAGTTACTGTACTGTATGTGTGAAAATGACAAGGTTTAGTTAGCTATATTTGTTTTTATAGGAAAATTAAACAGATGTCTTTTTGTGTATTAAATAGAAAAAAGTATTGTTCTTGACTCACTGATTGTTATAGAGTTATCGCTCATTAACCAGAGATTCTTCTTGTGGAATGGAATATTTTGTGGGAGTGAGCGTTAAGCCTGGAGATGTTTGACAAACTTTGTTGTATTGAAGATAAAGTTCGTCTCCTTTGCTGTGTTGATTTCCAATGAAGTCAAGTGAATTGGTTTCAATATTTTAAGTGCCCACTGACCAAGTCGCGTCGAAGTTTCGTTTTTATTAGTTCTCTTGGTCACGTGGGGAGGTTCGTGAACATGTTTACATTTTATGGCGTTAACTAGAGGTCAAAATTTGGGTCGGTACCTTCGGACGTAGTTGACGACACCTAATTAATGTTTTACAACCAATCAAAATACATCAGTTGTTATATTTGGTTGGGAGCCTCTATGTGTTTAACTTGCACAAAATTTAAGATTTAAAGAAATGTAGGAATCTGATTCTACAGTGCGCTTTTTTTTAGGTGAAAAACACATTGATTTTCAAATTCTTGCCAAAATCAAATATTTGTCGGATTTTAATGAAACTTCTGAATGAACGAAATTATTTATGATTTTTTTAGAAAGTCATGGTTAAATTAAATTAGTTTTATTTATTTATCTACATCTGTTTCTTACTTAATTTTTATGAAAACTTGAGAAATTTGACGGCGTGACTTTTAATGATTATATTTAAAAAACAGCTAAAAGCAGATGTTGAATATAAACAATAGTTTTTTTTGTCTTTTTTTTTTTTTGTAAAATCGAAATACACAGGTACTCAAAATTCACCTCCGAACTATTGTAACATAAAAACCCCAATAAAACTAAGACATTATTTAAGGAATGCTGTTATTAAGCAGATCTATTTTTACAGATCATAAATTAGAAAGCTTATTACAATCTTCGACACACATGTATTTTAAAAAGAATTTTACTGTTTCAGAAAAACTTTTTTCTAAATATATGGATGAACTTGTTTCATTGTAATAACAAGTATTTTAAGAGTTTCCCCCCCTGAACGCAAGAAATTGATATCAGAAAATTTTGCGTTTTTGTTTTGCGTGCACTTATTGAATTCTCTGACTTACTGATTATTTATTTGACCATCATCGTCACATTTTCAAAATTTTTAATTTTCTTTTTACATGCTATTTCACTCAATATTTTAATTTAATTTAAAAAAAAAAATATAATTAATTTATTGTTTTTCAATGAGAGACATACTGCAATTATTAATTATTTTCATTTTTAGTTTCAAGTTTCGGGACAGAAACAGTGCAGGCTTTGGTTGGACATATCTTCGTTAAAAAAGGACGTTAAAAAATCAATAAAATATTAGAATTTTGAAAATATTTAATTTTATTTTTCCAAAAAGGATATATAGCTAAAAAGTATCTAAATAAAATCAATAGAATAGACTTTTGAAAACACACACACACACACACACACACACACACACATATATATATATATATATATATATATATAAAATATTCCCTTTTTGAACCCGTATAAACGGGTTCAGGGTCAGTTAACCTCCCCGAACGAGACTCTGCCATTCGGCGGAGCCTCGTCCGGGTTTCTCTCTGCCCGAAGGCTGAGAGTTCGACTATTTAGCTGGAACAGGTCGCAGCTAGTATATTTAGGATACACCCCCGCCCCCACGAGGGTTGCATGTGGCACAAGGCCGCTTTTAACGTAGGCTCGGCCAAAAATATTCCCTTTTTGAACCCGTATAAACGGGTTCAGTGGCAGTGAACCTCTCCGAACGAGACTCTGTCCTACCAGGCCTTTGACCAACTTCCCGTCGTCGACACGACCAGATCGACCACACCTCAGCTTCCCATCGTCAACACGTCCACTCTAAACACACTTCTATTACCTGACTTCAGAGCCCAACCGACCGACGACCAACTTACCTACCATCGGTTTCACTACTTTTTTGTTTTTACTTCAGTTTTTGTAGACTCTCCTATGAATATGCAGGATTGAGTGGTGGTGGTTGAGTTCTTATGGTGAATCAGCAAATTGTAATGAATGAATGAATGGCTCCTGATTCTGATTAACTAGGACGATTCTAAGAGACTCCGTGCCCTCGTCAATGCTAAGTTGATCGAGGGTGATGTCTCAGCTGCAGAGTATTGGCTTCATCCGATACTATACTAGCTACTACAGCAGAAGTTCTCACGGCTCTCCGTCGGAATCATCCTGTGCCACCATCAGATGTCAGATTTGTTCAGATGGAAGAAAATGATTCAAATATTGAAATCTCAAAGGAAGCAATGGTTGCCGCTCTAAAGTCCTTCTCGGGAAGCACCAGTGGAGGTGTGGAGGTCTTCGCCCTGGTCACATCAAGTACTTAATTTCTGCCCACACTGCCGAAGCTGGTGAACATTTGAAAATATCCATAACAGCTCTTATTAATTCTCTTCTCCGAGCTGAGATACCCCAACATGTTCGCGACTTAATATTTTCAGCCAACTTAACGGCTTAAAAAAAAAAAAGACGGAGGTATACGCCCTATCGCTGTTGGTAATATTTTTCGTCGACTCGCGGCAAAAATTGCTTGCAGAGTTGTTGTGAAGGAGATAGGGCATGAATTGCGACCTGTCCAGCTCGGGGTAGACATACAGGGAGGATGTGAAGCCGCGGTTCATGCCACAAGATCATTTTTCGAGAATACATCATCTGCTTCCCCCACCCCCACGTATCTTATTAAAATTGGATATGATAAACGCTTTCAATAGCATCAGAATGGATGATGCCCTGGAAGTTTGCCATCAACAGACTCCGTCCATATTTAAACTGGCTCATCTTTCGTATAGTCATCCAAGTATGTTGATCGCCTCCGATAATATTATCTCTTCTGCTACTGAATACAGCAAGGTGATCCACTTGGTCCTCTACTATTTGCGATAGCTATTGACGGGGTAGTTCGTTCCATCGCCTCTCCTTTCAAGATATGGTATTTTGACAATGCAACGTTGGGAGGATCCATCGAGGCCGTAGTTGCTGACCTCCGACGAGTTGTTCCTGCTTTATCTCAGTTTGGATTTGAGATTAACTCGTCCAAATCAGAGATAATAAACTTGAATTATAGTGCTGATGATTTCGAGAGTGCTATCCGGGACATCAGGCTCATCCTTGAGGATATAAAAATAACACCTAAGGAGGAATTACATATTCTTGGTTCTCCAGTCTTTCCAATGGCCATTCGAGAGTGTTTGGATACTAAGAATGACTAATGAATAACAAGAATGACTGAGAAATTGAAATTAATTGACGCACATCCAGCCCTCTTCCTCTTGAAGAACAGTTTTTCGCTACTGAGTTTCCTCTACACTCTCCGAAGTGCCCCTTGCTACCTCGAACAGGATTTCTTAAATGAGATAGATATCACAATTAAGAGATGTGCGGAGCTAATTTGCAACGTTAATTGCAGGGTGGAAGCAGGCAAAGCTTCCTTTGAGTTTCGGGGGCCTGGGCCTTCGATCAGCGGTAGATTTGGCCCTTCCAGCATATCTTTCTTTACTTTCGTCCAGTCGCGAATTAATTGATGAGATACTCAGTGGATCGTCTCAGTGTTTCTCGGGTAGTTCTTTCGAACAAGCTTGCAGCGTCTGGGCCCAAGAATTACTTTCTATCCCACTAGACACATCAAAACAAAAACGCTGGGATAAAATAAAATGAGAGGCCAATTTTACTAATTTGCGGCTCTCTCTGGATCAACATCGCCTCACCTGTCTACTATCTGCTTCACAACCGAGTAGTGCCCTCTTCATCTACCGGTACCCCGCTAGATGATGAGTGCACTCGGGTCGGAGTCGCGATCCTTCTTGGACTCAAATTATGTGAGCGTCACATCGACAAGTTTGGTTTGCATCCCCTCTCCTGTCGTCGTAGTGCCGGCCGATTTCCACGGCATGCAGCAATAAACGACATCATCAGAAGATGTTTGGATACAGCTGGGTTTCCTTCCCAAATCGAACCCGTAGGCATCGACCGTGGTGATGGAAAGCGGCCCGATGGCATTACCATTTTCCCTTTTAAAATGGGTAAGTCGTTGATTTGGGATGCGACCTGTGCGGATGCATTTTCGGCCGGTAATTTGATCAGATCCGCGGCTGAGCCGGAGTCCGTCGCCCGGTAGGCAGAGATAAAAAAAAAAGATAGTTAAATATTCTTCTCTTGCTGATAGATTTTTTTTTACTCCTGTGGCAGTGGAGACTTCTGTGGTTATTGGCACTCGTTTGATGGCGTTCCTTCGGAGGATTGGTGCGATTGCGTCTCGATTAAGGGATGAGCCTCGCGAAACGTAGGGGGCTCTTGCAGCGTGTCTCACTGACGATGGTTCGAGGTAATGCTTTCTCTATCATTGCGGCTGAATGAGGATAGAAAAAAATTGTTTATAGTTACTTTGTTCAAACTTTTTTTCAATAAACAAGTTAACTTATCAAATTTAATATTTCCGAGTTGAAAATCAGCATAAATATACTTGTTCTTACTGATGAAAATCTCACTTTTAGAAGTTGATAAGTTTCTGTGTCCTTGTAGAAACAGTTTCAGGTTGAAGGAGTGAATGTTCGTAGATGTTCGTAAAAGGTGTGTGATGTTCGTGCGTAAGTGTGTGCGTGTGTGTCTTGACGTTTTATAGCGCTTTCCCCAATGGGACAAACGCGACCTCTCTACTGAACTACATCGCTGTGGGTCTGAGGAGGAGAAAAGAGTTGAAGATGTGTCCAAGTATTTATAAGTAATGTGAATCACGTGATAGGCTCGCGAACACAACCAGATTTTGGCGGTAAATTGACTCTGAACACTTTTTCGTAGGTGTTGTAATGTTTTTCACATATATTAGCCAATAAGAAGTCGGAGAATGATTCAAGATTCTGTAATCCACTTTGGTATTTAGTTTATTCAAAAATTGACGTCGAAAGAACCTATTGCATGATACAGTGAATTAGTAGCAGAATGCTAAATACATTGAATGCCAGAATGGTGTTAGAGCCAGATGTTTTTCATCTGACTCCCCAGTCCTGGTAAAACTAGTAATGCATTTAATTAACACTTCACTCGTACATTAAAACGCAGACATACACGAATTTAATTTTTTTAAAATAACACTTACTTTATTTAAATATATAAATTTCAAGCGCCTTGGAATGTATATACTCCTCGAATATCTTGCATAATATTTTTTGCCGTTCTAAATCGACAAGAATTTGTTTCTCAATCGAAATACGAGTCAATGAAGACAAGCGTTCAGCCATTGTGCATCTTAAAAATGATCGAATTTTATCGAAGGTTGACAAACTTCTTTCGTTTGCAACAGACGTGGCAGGGATGGTTAGAAAACGTTGAATCAATATTACAGTCTCTGGCATTACAGATAAAAACCCGATTTATAAAGTAATTCCAAAATGCCGTGAGTTGACTCACATTTTTTAAAGTCGTAGTCGTGATACAAATATTTCAGTTCGTTTACTAAAGATTTGTAATCAAATAAATTTGAGTATTTGTGTTGCTAAGTTTTATATACTTCATTGGAAAATTATCTGCAAACATTTCCAATTTTTTCATGTTGAATAGTTTAAAATATTTAAATTCTTCAATGTGAACCAATCACTTTCTTTACGTCATTAAAATAGTCTGAAATATTTCCAGATATTTTAGTTCATTTGCTTCCCTTTGGTTATTCTTGAAAGAGTTGATGGGTGGGGGAGTCAGAATCATTGAAATGTTCAATTTCAAGCGTTGTTTCGATATCTTTATACTGTTCATCACTTCATTGATTTTCAATATACTGAATAAAATCATTTATTTTATCTTGAGAAATTTTAAATCAAGCTGTTTACATTGTAAAACGTCAAACAATTTCTTAGCACGTGATAATATTGTATAAAAGCAGTTTATAAAAAATATGAAATTGAATTCGTTCAATTTGGCGAATAGATTATCAGCTTCACTAAGTGTATCTTCATCCCGATTTTAATTTTGGCCTAAAATATTTTGAAATTCACTTTTCAATTTTTCACGTGAATCTTTTACAGCTGACACACTTCTGGGTCTATAACACCACAGTCGCACAGTCATACTGACTTTAAAATTCCTATAGTCTTTCTGTTTGTACTATAAGAAGTAAATTTATTAAAGCTGCATAAATGAGAAAAATACTTTTAACTCCATTAACCTACTCGGCACTTCGACTTAAAATCAAATTAAACTTATGTGCAGTACAATGAATGAAGTCGCCATATTTAAGCCCTTTTTCTTTCAATTTTATTTTTACGCCGTTTCGTTCACCTGCCATTACCGCTGCTCCATTACGTTTGGCAAACCAGTTTAATTTTAACATTACTAAAGGAGTATAAAGCAGTTTCTATTACATCAGCTAACCTTGAAGCGCTTTTATCATTACTTATATCATAAAATCATAAAAATCTTTCATTTATTTCGCATCCAGTAACATACATGATGATTATAACAGAAAGCTGTGCATTCATTGCAGTTTAATCTGCCTGTACGGACATAAATGGAGTATTTTTAACTTAGGTTTGAATTCCATCAAATATTACCTTATCAATTGCAGACATAATGGCATCCTGTATCGTACTTGAAACTCGTGAAAATTGTTTTGATCCTTCTTTAGTAAGTTTTGATGCAAAGACGCTTCTATTTCAGCAAATCAGTGCAATAACTCGCGATAATTTCCTTTGTTCAAGCTATTTTTCATTCGTCATGGACAAGGAATGGTAGTTCTTGTTTACAAAGATATAAAACAGCATTTATTGTTTTAACTATATTGTTTTCTTCAACGAATTTGTTATGTCGCTCCCTTTTAAGCTTAACAGATTTACTAAAAATTGAAATTATAGAGTTTTCGTACAATTAGTTAGCGCGGGTAAATACATATGAAAAAAAAAATTTTTGCGATGACTTTACTAAAAAAAAATGTATTTGTAATAAGTTCCATCATTTGTAAATAGTTTTTGAAAATTTCATTAAAATCCGACAATTATTTTCATTTTTGCAAGATTTTCCAAATTAATGTGTGTCAAACGGGAAAAAACGCGCTAAAATGTTTATACGTTAATTTATCAGCTAAGCTGATAAAAAGAGAAACAAGGTCTTTTAATCAAAATTTACAATGTTCTAAAAAAGAAGGAAAAATTTCAAAAAATAAGTAAAAAATACTTTGATCTTTCCTCTAAAAAGTAACATAAGCATTTAGACGCGAAAATTTTGTTTTCATCAACTTTGGCGTCTTTTTAATCATGCTATGCTCTTTTTTAGCGATCCAATAGAGTACCCTATTATGGAGGTTATAGCAATCTAAAAATACTGACTGGCCTGATTTGTTCTGAAAGAGCAAACAAGAACAACAGTAGAGTTTTTCTTCTGACACACTTGCACACAATCAATCTATTGATACCATCTATTTTGAAAAGAACGTGCGCCGACTTTAGTTTTCAGTGAAGGAGTCAGTCGACCTAATTTAATAATTTCCCGCTTTTTCGCAATATTCCTCTTCCCAAATGAATTTCTTTTAAGATCTAACACTATATCATTCTCCATAATTGGTAAATTAATTTTTATCTATAATGTAGGTGTTTGTTTTTTTTAACAAGATGACATGTTCATAAGAATGCATAGTATAGTTTAGTTTTAGTTTTTCCTTCCGCTTGTGCTGTTAGACGTCGCGGAGAGACACAGTCGTCTGTCAGCTGTAAGGCGAGTGACCTGGAGGAGAGATATCTTGTGGGCTTTTGTGGTGTCTGCCACTGAGTCGCTCCAGCGTCATTTTTGTCTGCCTCTCGCTCTTTAGCCAGAATACCTGAGTGTATGCTTGTGGGGCTGGTTGGTTGATAGGCATACGAGTCAAGTGTCCGAACCACTTGATCCTCTGTCGTTCGATGTGTTGTATGATTGGTATTGCTCCTACCATATCTCTTATTGCCTCATTCCTGATCTTCTCTCGCCTGGTCTTCTTCACTGCTTTCCTCAGGCATTTCATCTCACAAGTGATCATTTTTTTTAGGCGCTATGTCTGGCATTGGTCTGGCAGCATTTGTAGGAAAATAGCAACCCAACCCAACCCCTCGTTCTCGTCGTGGGAGGTGAAAACAGGTAATGCCGGCCAACGGGGCACTTGTGAAGCTGTGATTGGCTTAGCAGGCCGACAGTGCATAAAAATTGCTCAAGAAAAGGAACAAATAAGAATGCATAAACTTAAAAAAAAACTCTATTGTGATGATTTGAGCCATTAATTGATGATTTAGAGAATGGTTAGGTATATTGCTCAATGCGTAAATAAAATTGACATAAACACTGATATTTTGTAACAAGCGGCATTTATAATGAAAAACAAAAACACTGAATTGAAAGAAATATGTCCAAAATGATTTTTACATTTAAATTCTTTACACTTCAGTGAAGCTTCGAAAGAAAAAATAAAAGTTACAGTGTCATGATTAGTTAAATTCTCCGAGAAGCAGTAATATGCGTGCGTATCCGTTAACAAAAAAGTTTTCAATAAAAATGTTTACGAACAAAATAGAAATTCTCAAAAAAAATATTCTTAAAATGATTGGTTATGATCTTTTATCGTTGATTGTAGCATCGTATTAGATAGAGAGTATTTTGACAACTGATATCATCAGTTGTATATCATCTCTCCTATTTCTGCATTC